TCTCCTAATCGACTTTTACACCACACAAACTTAAGAGAATCTTACTATGATAAATTATGGTTCATCAATTTAGATTTTTCACTTTGAGAACTTTAGAGCTTAGGTTTGAGGATTTATAATCAGATAGAAGAAGATTTTGTTGTTTTTGTTTACAATTCATGTTGTTTAAGTGTATATATGTCGTTTTTTCAGTTTCAATTTAAATGTAACCCGTCTAATTTTTACGATAATGGAGACGAAGACGAATTTTCATGAACATATTTAAAGTTAAGGAGTTTTTGCACTAAATATATAGTTGAGGGGTTTTTTACAATTCATCTTTAGTTGAGGGGTTTTATTACTAAAAACCCTTAATTTTTTAAGATTTCAGATGCTTATTAAATCATGTGTGCTACTCTTACATCTTTTTATTAGTGTGGACCTCCTATAATATGTTTCTGAACACAATTATATGTTCATTAAAAAAATATAAATTTATTTTATTATATGAACTAGGAGAAAATCCGGGCTACGCCCGGTATGCATATGATTTATATTTTAAGTTTTACGGATTGATTTTGGAATGTAATATTTACCAGAATACATATCTACTAAACAATAATTTTGTGGTCTACTTAAATACCAGAATATCAACTTAAACTATCCTCTGACTTTGTGGTCTTTATACTCTGGATCTTAGCTTTCTTTGCCACAGATCTTCTCTGCTAAGTGTGCAGTTTGATGACGGCCAATTCCCATTGATTCATGACGAATTTTGAAATTTCTAAACGCATCTCTATAATGAAGTGGTGTCATGTCTCTGATTCCAACAATCTATGGAACATAAACAGTCGATATTAGTTCTTAGATGTGGCCGAATTCTAAGCTTTGGAAATTCGAGGAAAACATGAATCTACATAGTAAAGAGAGCAATGATGAAACGAAACATACGTATTTATGATGAAAGTGGCAACAAAGCTTTATCTTGCAAAGAAATTCTCTTTGCATAGATCTAGTAATCAATAACATCCAATTTTGATTTTACTACCTTTTAATTTGTTTCCAATATATCAACATTTTTTAGGATTTATAAATGATCAGTAAAGAACACTTACATTCATTATATGTGCATGTGTCCAAGGAGAAAGCAAAGAGGTATAAATTAATAACTACAACTCCAAACAAAGATCATAGATAGGTCATTAAGAAATCACTTTTGGAAAAAATGCTTTGAACACATTAACACAAACAAACAAACAAAGATCATAGATAGGTCATTAAGAAATCACTTTTGGAAAAAATGCTTTGAACACATTAACACAAACAAACAAACAAAAAAAACTATATTTGCAGATATTGCTGAACTTAGAAACACCAATTACGAAACATACCAGAATGGTAGATCATAATTCGCCATGCTCTGTTTCTGCTTCTTTTTTCACCAGAATTGGCGGTGAAAGTAGCTTCAAAGCACATCATTTAGGGTATGTGATACCTACCAAGTACCAAGCTTTCAGAAACCTGAAATATATAGCTGGCATAGATGACCTTTGTAATTAAACCAATTCGTAAACATAAACTTTGGTTGGAGAATTTGGTCTAAACTGTATTGGACCTCTAAAAAAGTAATTGGAAGAACAACATAATGATTATAAAAAAAAAAAAAAAGTAAAATAACAGAGTAAAGCACGACTTACATCTCATAATAAACTTGTGTAAATAATTCGTATGGAGTCCACTTTAGTTTTATGAATGCCGAGCTACTTTTGCTACTGCCATCTGCATATATATACGTCAATGTAAGTTAGAGGACGTTTGGGATTTTAAACATGTAATGAAGACGAATATACTAAAGAAGACTTTGTGGAAAAGAGTTTTAGAGAAACGAACCTATGGGAGTTTATGATTTTAAAACAACAAATAATTACAAACATTTTTGTCTACAGAAGAGATTAAACAGCTGGTATATAGTGGCCCCAAATGTAGTGTGTAGAGTGTGATTTTAGAATGTGAGCTACGTTTAAGCGCAGCAAAACTTGTTATTGTTTGTGGTTTTGAAATAACATACCTCTTGAGCCTTCACTATGAAGATGGTGCCACTTAAACATAGAAAGGGAAGTCCCTCTATATAGCTTATGGCGACATGATAAGAATCATACAATTTTTTCTCTCAAACAAACCCACAGAGCAGCCAAATCATCATCATTTAACAGAAGATCCGATTGTTTCTTTGGAAATTAACCAACAGATCGAAGTGAGCAAAAACATCAAACTTAATTCTTCTGAAAAATAAGGGGAGGCGATGAACAATAATTACCTTCAAGATAGGTATTTAGCAAGTCCCTAGACCCTTTAACTTAAAGATCTTTCTTCAGGTTTCGATGTTGTTCCTTTACTCTCAGTTTCGAAACCTGATGCGTGAATTTGTGTTAGACATAATATGAGAAGACATTAACAAAATCATTAACCAAGGCTTTACGTATATATTTGTGTTAGACATAATATGAGAAGACTGATAAGAGAGCACATGGGCGAGAAAGAGGCACGTGTGAAGAGTTTAAGAGAAGTATGAGAAGAATAAGAGTATAAATAGAGATAGAATAGCATTGTGAGAAGCATCCTGCGTGATCATTGATGTGTAAAGAGGATTAGGGCTTTATGTGCTCTGTTCTTAGGAGATAAGATTGGAGAACTGTAACTCCAAGCTTATCGATTAGGGTTTTGATTCTAATTGGATTCACAGATAAGAAATACAAGGATTTGGTTAATGTTCATATCAAAGACATTAACAAATTATGGACGTCAATGTCCAAAATCAAAGAGAAAAGTAGAGTTCAGAAAAACCTTGGTGGGAAGTTCGTGCTTTGCTAATCGTATCAATCTCATCCGAATCCATGACCTCTCGTTCACGTCCCAATTCTAGAACAGCATGCCTCAAGGTTATACCAACATAGATTGACTTTTTGACACTATTGGAATCTGAGTTTCTTGCTGGATTTGAGAGCCCATTGGCGCTTGGGAAATAGTTGTACCGTAGAGCGTGTAGAACGCGAAGAGATTTTAAATGGTAGAAGCATGACCTTTATGTAGCCTAAAACTGTAGGGGAGAGGAGAAGGTAGAGAGAGACTATTTGGAGTGAAATCATCGTAGGAGGAAGAATATTAATGGGCAACCGATGACATGCAAGGAGTTTTAAGGAAGAGAGATGATGCGTTACAAACAAAATTGAGGGAAGAGAGATGATGCGTTACAAACAAAATTAAGGAGTTGGATTTAGGTTGGAATATGCCACGTGGCAACTTGAGGACACATTGTTGAAACGCTGATGTGGACACAAGGAGAGGCTTCAAATTGCATCTTTTATTAGTAAGAGATGATGTGATCATTCATCACATCATTCATTTTATTATAAAATAAGGATCAAAGAATGATGAAAGAGAAACTATAATGATCAAAAATAAAAATATCATATAATTGGATATCAAATCTTTCTTATTCAATTTTGATTGGCTAATAATTATTTTTGAATTTATTATTAATGGAACATAGAAAGAGAGTTTAAAGTTTTGAAAATTAATAATTATCTAAGAGATTTGTTACCAATTTCTTAAATTTAATTATGTCGATTTAGTGATTTAATTTGTTTATATAATGTATCTATAAAAATAACCTAAATATAAATTACATTTCATGTCATTTTTAAATTTTCTAAGATACCCTTTTAAAATTGTTCCTCAATTAATAGTTTTAGATTCTATTTTTTTCTCCACAGATTGTTTTCTTTATTCATTAATTTTTTTTATATTTATTTACTACAAGAAATATCTACAGTATTATCAAATGAGCTATCGCCGTATACTATCAATGTGGATATTTATTGTAGTGATTTCCATTAGTTTTTTCTTCATTCATATCTGTGTTTTGGTTGTCACCAATCAAAACCTTTGTTAGAGTCGAATCAAAAACCATATTTCATTCAACGTTTGTAAACTCCTAGACGACATCATATGGTTAGTAATTGACGGAGGAATTAGGGAGAATTTATTGATTTAAGGATAAAGACCATACTAAGAGAATAGTAACATGTGTAGAAAACTACAAATCATGAAGGTTTAACAACAAAAATTAAGTAAAAAACCAAAAAGCGCCAAATTAGGAGGCAAATGTCTAAATGAACGGTGTGGCAAAAGACTTGGTCTTATCTTTCTCTCTCGCCCACTCATTACAAATTTAATCACAGTAAAAAACAGAAAATCCATATCTCAAATCCACATTTCTATTTTTAATTTCTTCTTCCTTACGTTGTCTTTTGCGGATATTCTTCACAAATTTTACGATATTTTCTTTTTAGATTACTGTCCTTTTTTTTGTTTCGCGTGTGATCATTAACTCGAGGTAAATTCTCTAATCCCAGTTAATATCACACGCGGAATATCAAAGATCAGATTTGTACATTGTACCAACATCGTAGGAGGATTAAAGTGGAGTATTTGAAAGAACAACAAAGCCAAGAAATTTGGTAAAGACAGCTTTTCTTATTTTGTTGTTTGTGTCAACAAATCCAAACAAGGCTTTTGATCATTTCATTTTGATCCTTTTCCATATTCTGGGAATCTACAAATTCCTTCAACGTCACTTTTTCTTTTGTTTATATTTTCTTGATAAAAAAAAAAAGAGAATATCAAAAAAAAAGTTTGACTATTGGGTGTTGTTTCTCTCAATTTATTCTTCTGGGTTTTTTTTTTTTGTATATTCTTCAAAATCTGCAAATATCAAAAGAAAAATAAAAAAAAACGTGTTGAGCTGTTACCACTTTCTTATTTGTTTCTTCTCTCTCCTTTGTCTTTTAAATTTCTTCAAAATTTCTCATTTTTCACTACAAAACCTTTTTGTTTTCTCTCATTATCTCGGGAACAGAGTTTTTTTTCTCTTCTCTTCATTACATCTTCTCTTCCCTTTTTGTTATTACAGTAACACGCGTCTCCTTCAATCCTCTCGCTGTCTATGAGATCCAATTTGTAGCTGTTTCATCTTCTGTTTTTTTTTATCTATCGAAACAAAAATGGCACCAAAGTTTGAATGGTGGGCTAAAGGAAACAACAACAACCGTAAAGGAACACCAGTCGTCGTCAAAATGGAAAACCCTAATAACTGGTCAATGGTGGAACTTGAATCACCTTCTCATGACGATTTCCTCGTAAGAACTCATGAGAAATCTCGTAACAAGAACGCAAGACAGCTCACTTGGGTTCTACTTCTTAAAGCTCACCGTGCCGCAGGTTGTCTCACTTCTCTCGGTTCTGCATTAATAGCTCTCGGCACCGCCGTACGCCGCCGTATCGCCGCCGGCCGTACAGACACTGAAATCTCCTCCTCCTCCGGAATACAGAAGCAAAACCCTGCGAAAAAATCGAAACTTTTTTACTCTTGCTTAAAGGTGTTTCTATGGCTTTCTTTAGTCCTTTTGGGTTTTGAGATTGCTGCTTACTTCAAAGGTTGGCACTTTGGAACTTCTAAGCTTCAGCTTCAGTTTATCTTCAATAAAGGATTCTTTGATTGGGTTTACACGAGATGGGTTTTGCTTCGTGTTGAGTATCTTGCTCCTCCGCTTCAGTTTCTTGCTAATGGCTGCATTGTTCTGTTTCTTGTTCAGAGTCTTGATAGACTCATTCTTTGTCTTGGTTGTTTTTGGATCCGTTTCAAGAAGATTAAACCGGTTCCTAAACCGGATTCTATCTCTGATCTTGAATCTGGTGATAATGGTGCCTTCCTTCCTATGGTTCTTGTTCAGATCCCTATGTGTAATGAGAAAGAGGTAACAACCAAAACCAAAAGCTTTAGAAATATTCGAATTGGTTAAATATTTTTTACTAAGTTTTGGTTTTTACAGGTTTATCAGCAATCAATTGCAGCTGTGTGTAACTTAGACTGGCCAAAAGGGAAGATTTTGATTCAAATTCTTGACGATTCGGATGATCCAATAACGCAGAGTTTGATTAAAGAAGAGGTTCATAAATGGCAGAATCAAGGTGCACGCATTGTGTATCGTCACCGTGTTAACAGAGAAGGTTACAAAGCTGGTAATCTTAAGTCTGCTATGAACTGTAGTTATGTTAAAGACTACGAATTCGTTGCGATTTTCGACGCTGATTTTCAACCTCTACCTGATTTTCTCAAAAAGACTATTCCTCATTTTAAGGTAATAATTGCTAATTTTGGAGCTTAATTTGATCCAAAAGATTGTATACTAAAATCAGGTGTGTTTTCATTGATAGGACAATGAGGAACTAGGATTGGTTCAAGCGAGGTGGTCGTTTGTGAATAAGGAAGAGAATTTGTTGACACGATTACAGAACATTAACTTGGCTTTTCACTTTGAGGTTGAGCAGCAAGTGAATAGCGTCTTCTTGAATTTCTTTGGATTCAATGGAACAGCCGGTGTGTGGAGGATCAAAGCTTTGGAAGATTCCGGTGGTTGGCTCGAGAGAACTACCGTCGAGGATATGGACATTGCTGTTCGTGCTCACCTTCATGGATGGAAATTCATTTTCCTAAACGACGTTGAGGTATTGTAGCAATAACTGTGTTGTTGTTGTTGTTACTACCAACTGGTTTGTTTGATTCTTGGCTAATGTCATACTATGTGTTGCCTTTCTCAGTGCCAATGTGAATTACCGGAATCGTATGAAGCTTACAGAAAACAGCAACATAGATGGCATTCAGGACCGATGCAGCTATTTCGTCTTTGTTTGCCTGCTGTCATTAAATCAAAGGTGCGCTAACGTATCTGTTTCGGTATTATATGTTGGCAGTTGTGTTTTCTGATGCCTTTGTATGTGTGTGTGTTTTGCAGATAAGCATAGGAAAGAAATTCAATTTGATATTCCTCTTCTTTCTCCTGAGGAAGCTTATCTTGCCATTCTACTCATTTACCCTCTTTTGTATTATCCTGCCAATGACTATGTTTGTACCCGAGGCTGAGCTTCCCGCTTGGGTTGTTTGCTACATACCTGCCACAATGTCGTTCCTCAACATCCTTCCCGCCCCGAAGTCATTTCCGTTTATAGTCCCGTACCTTCTCTTTGAGAACACAATGTCTGTGACCAAGTTCAACGCAATGGTCTCGGGTCTATTTCAGCTAGGAAGTGCTTATGAATGGGTTGTTACAAAAAAATCAGGACGATCATCGGAAGGCGATCTTGCTGCTTTAGTTGAAAAAGACGAAAAGAAAACGAAACATCAGAGAGGTGTGTCTGCACCCGAAACCGAAGCCGAGAAAAAGGCTGAAAAGACAAAGAAGAAGAAGAAGAAGCACAATAGGATATATATGAAGGAGCTATCACTAGCGTTTCTGTTACTAACCGCAGCAACTCGAAGTCTTTTATCGGCGCAAGGAATCCATTTTTACTTCCTCTTGTTTCAAGGAATCTCCTTCTTACTTGTTGGTCTAGATCTTATTGGAGAACAAGTTGAATGACACTCAAAGAGATTGAAGTAGTGCTTGTAGAAGAGACGTTGTAGAAGACAGGAACATGAAGAGAAAAAAAGGCTTAAGGAAAGGGTCTGGACCCAAAAGAATACAATACATCATTGAACATAGATCGGTTTCACAAGGATTAAGGAAGGACATGGATTAACTCTGTTGGTAATGTGTAAGGTTGTAACTTTTCTCTCTTTTGGGTTTGGCCACAGTTGTTTATTCTTTCGTTTAATGGGGACAATTCTTTTGTAAGAAAGTCTTGTTCAATTAAGAAAGCAAATTATTTTAGCTCTAAAGAGACTTATTATTAACTCTGGGGAAATCGAAGACAACTACACCTTTACAATGAATATACAATTTCCCTTGCTTCGGTAAAGTGTCCAGAGAAAAGGCCACCTATAGTTGTATAGTTAGTCAGGCAGGGCTGCGACTTTGGTTAACAAACCGAACCGAGCTGGTTTCTTCGGTTATCAGTTAACGAAGTAGTTCTAGAACGTTACCGGAATTAATTGAAAAGCAAAACCAAAACTAACAGTTTGATTTTTTATTTTTAAATTTAGGGTTAAAATAGGTTATTTTAGGTTAACTTTGGATATTTTCGGTGAATTTAGGGTATTGGTGAAAACCGATCTAAGTTTGGTGTAATAGCATCCGATAATTACCCGAAAATCAATCGGTTCGATCCAAACCGAACCTAAATTCTCGGATAACCCAACTCAAAATGAAATTATGACGATCTATTTTGCCGAGAGAACCGAAACCGCACCAAAAACTAAAAAAAACTCGATTTGGTTCTAAATCCCAACCCTAAGAGTGTATATATAGTGAAGAACTCACAACAAAGCTCAATAGCTTTGAGGACATGGTGGTTTAATGGAGAAAATTAAAGAAATATAAAAATGTGAAAAGAAACTTATGGTTTCCGTTTGGTGTGATATTTGCAGTTCTTTAACTATTTTTCGTTTTCTTTAAAAGCAAAATTTAACTATTTTTGGTGTGATGTTCTGCATTTATAATATGTCAATTTTAAGAAGACTAATGTGTGAATTGATGTATCTATTCGATCACAAGACATATTATAAAATGCAAATAAAACTATGACGAAAAACATTGAAATTAATTTCAAGGATATGTTTTTAGTTATTGTAGAGGGTGCATTTGTTTAACCTTAATAAATCATGTATTCGCCATTCATTAGTCAATACAACAAAACAAAATCAAGTTTTTCTAGTTAACACATCAGCATTTTAGGACAATATCTTTTCTCTCTCTTCTTGAAGATTTTTTCTTTCTAGATCTCAATTAATGGCATCACTTAATCTCAAAACAATTGCAATATTGGATCCAAATGTCATTCCTAAATTTTCAAATGACTCATTGCACATGTGTATTTTATTTGGATGAGCTTTTTTTTTTTTAATAACAAATTACTATAGAAAGTTTTATACATAAGTAACACTACTATATTCGTACATGTTTTGATATAACTTTTCTTACCTTTATATAGTCATCTCATACTTCATCTCTACCGGTGAATTTTTCCGTTTCAGATTTTCACCCAAACCCGTAAATACAACGAAGAAGATCTGCCAAGCTTTGGTACGTACAATTCAAGATCTTCCTCCTAGCTATTTTATATTTGTTATAGATTTTGTTAATTCCAATCTTTTGGTTTATAGCTGATAATATTTATGACTTCACCATTAACTTGTTGAATTTATTATTAGCATCACATAATACTTTATTGATTTTCTCAACAATAGGCCACAATAACTTTTTCTTTTCGGCTGTAGATCTTCAATTTTCACATCCTATGGATGAGATAACTAGTCTTTCCTCTATTGAATATAGTGCCATGATTGTGCGGAGACTCTTTTCATCCTTTAGCATCTCCATCTTGATGGGTAATCCGTGAAGTTGTCTACTTTTGGGATGGTAGGATATGCCACTAGCATAACCATACTCCAACAATATCAATACCAATGATCTTGGATCGCAAAGAAAAACAAAGGCTGCAAGTTCCATATTATACATCCCATATTTTTTCAATCTCTGCTCTAGTAAAGGGTTCTCGAATTTGGTTTTAATGCTAGTTACTCGAAAGAAATCTTGTATAAGGCAGGCGGGATGAACAACATTCATCAAGTCTTTTATGTACTTCGCTTAAGTAGTCATGTATTTGATGTTGCTCTCGCAGATATAAACATATCTCTGAATTTCCAGTGAGAGACTTTGTAAGGAAAAAACATATTATTTGTCCTTCAATTTAATGTGCATTTGAAAAAAACGAATCATTAAATTTTTGAAATTTCAATATATGGTAACTAAATATTATAAGAAATTTAGATGTGTTTGGTTGTAGGTTAGAAGGGAATAGGATAAGAAATATTGTGTGTTTAAAATAAAAATAAAAATACCGAAAAAATTATGGGATTGCCAAATCAGCATCAAAAACCCTCTTTTAATATATAAAAGATTAATTAACTCTTATTTTACTATGAATTCACGTGCACTACACTCTAACACCATAAAATAGTTCTAATTTAATTAATCCATACGATAACAAATTACAATTTAAAATATACCTTCCAGGCGCAACAAGTTATCAATCTAGACTACAATAAAATCATCATTTGTTAGATCCATATATTCTAACAAATAACAATTTAAGAAACTTAGGACCCTAACGAAGCACGAGTTATCAATCTAGTATCTTTTAACTAAACATCACATTATTTCCTCATTCCCATATGTGCTCATCTTTGAGTAGCCAACTAAATATGACAAAAAGGTGAAGAAATAAGAGTAGTTGGGAAAGAGGAGAAAATGTGGTAACAGTTGTGTGTTGATGATGGTGGTTTAAACTTGGTGGTGGTGGCGGTAAATATCGTTTCTATGTTTACGTAACTATATAATTTTATCTTTTCTTATTGTCACAATTTTGTTTTCATCTTGTCCACATTAAAATTATAAGGTATAACTTTCTCTTTCGATGGATGTAAATAATTTATTAAAATTTAATAATATAACGTATGAACATTTATGAACATCATAACTTATAGTAAACAAAAACTTATATAATTTTATTAATAGATCAATATTTATATTAGTTTATTTAATAATTAGTAATTTTCGTTATAGACTGATTTAATAATTAGTATAACATAACTACAAATAGTGTTTTATTACATAATAAATTTATATTAAAAATTTAATTAAAATGCTGAATTTTTAAAAGTTAAACATATATGTTTGTAGAATTTTAGTTATGTTTACAACCATAAAATTTAAAAAATTAAAAATTGTAATTTTGACCGGTAAACCATACAACATAGAGTACATATATTTAGTAGAAGATAAGTTAATGAAGAGAAAATGAAGAGTTGGAATTTCAGAATAACAACACCCTTTTTTAATTAACTAAATTCAAACCAATGAAGGATTCCGGTCGGGTCGGATCAAATGCGAGCAAACCGGACCCGTACCCGTAACCGGACCCGTTTTAAATTGCCGCCCCCATAAGGTCCTTAGGTAAAACCCTCAAAAACCTAATGCTTCATCGCCTCCTCTTCTTCTTCTCTCATCTCCGTCTCAGAGAGTGTACACTTCTCCTTCTTCTTCCGTCATGCTCGAATACCGTTGCAGCTCCGTTGACTGGAAACCATCACCGGTGGTAGCCCTAGCTAACAGCTCCGACGACTCACAAGTCGCGGCGGCTCGCGAGGACGGTTCTCTTGAAATCTGGCTCGTCTCCCCCGGCGCCGTCGGATGGCACTGTCAACTCGTACGTACTCTACGGTTTCCAAAAAAAAACCCTAGCTCTTCTCTTTCCGATTCAATCGAATTGGATTTCGTGAAGTATGTTCGAGTTGATTTGTGTTTTTTGATTGGCTTTTATTAACCGTTGCTTCTTTCGGATTTTCCGGGGTTAGACTATCCATGGCGATCCAAATTCGAGAATCTCGTCTCTTGCGTGGTGCTGTTCTGGTTCTAAAGGGCTGCCTTCGGGTCGGTTGTTTTCTTCTAGCATCGATGGCTCCATTTCTGAATGGGATCTTTTCGATTTGAAGCAGAAGGTTCTAAATCTCTCTGTTTCATCTTTTGCGATTCACATTTTCAGTTATATTTAGATTTTTTTGTTTTGTGTCTTTATATGTAGATTGTGCTTGAGTCTATTGGATTCTCGATATGGCAAATGGCATTGGCTCCGATTAATGTTCCGTACATTGATGTAGAAGGTAAAGCTGAGAGGATTGAGAATGGATACTCGAGTGAGAATGAGGAAGAGAGTGGGAGTGAAGAAGATGGTTCTGACTCTGATGAGTTTCTTGAGCAATCAGAGGATACAGATAGGCTTCTTGCAGCTGCTTGTGATGATGGTTGTGTGAGACTGTACCGTATCTCTGATTTAGACAAGTTAACTTACTATAGATCATTGCCTAGGGTCAGTGGTGAGACATCTTCACCACCCTTATTATAATAATGTCAATTGTCAATCATTTTTTCGTTTACTTAGTTTCTTGGAAAATTATCTTCACAGGACGTGCTTTAAGTGTAACGTGGAGTCCGGACGCAAAGAGGATCTTTTCGGGTAGCAGTGATGGGTGAGTTTTGTAGAATTTATTAAAGATCCATGTTTACTTGGATAGGTGTTAAGTTATTCTGAGTAACTGTTTCTTTTGTTGCAATGATCATTTGTAGGCTGATAAGATGCTGGGAAGCTAGCTCGTGTCAGGAGGTATACCGAATTACAGTTGGTCTTGGTGGACTGGGGAGTAGTTCTGAGATCTGTGTTTGGTCACTTCTTTCGTTGAGGTACTGATTGTAATGTTCAGCTTTAACATTGTGTCTGTTTTTTTTTTTTTTTCTCTTGCTGAGTATCTACATGCTTACTTTAGGTGTTCAGTTCTTGTGAGTGGAGATAGTACAGGAACTGTCCAATTTTGGGATAGTCAGCATGGAACCCTTTTGGAAGCACATTCTAATCACAAAGGTGATGTCAATACTCTTGCAGCATCCCCAAGCCATAATCGAGTCTTTTCTGCTGGTGCGGATGGACAGGTGAATGAAATTACTAGAATGCAGTAACTGTTATAGAATGATTTTAGAATATTGATGATGTATCAGATTAGCAAGGTAATTTTGAAGACCTGTTTTTAATGTAGATTCGTTTTGCTGATTGAAATATTTCCTGTTGACAATAAATGGGATCTATAGAAACCGATACTTTGACCATTTGTAGAAGTTAATTATATGTACCAGAAAAGTGCTTTTCTGAAATGTTTGTCGTGTTTGTTTTATTGCAATGGTTTTCAACATTCTAATTCTCTGGTCATCCTACCTGTAGGTTATTCTCTATAAGCTCTCCGGTAGTACTAATGGTTCTCAAGATTTGAAGCCTTCTTCCTCTCTGAAATGGGACTATATTGGTTATGTAAAGGCTCATACACATGACATCAGAGCTCTTACAGTTGCTGTACCAATTAGTCGAGAAGGTCAGAGTCTTATTGAGATTTATGGTTATTCAAAGTTTGAGAATGTCCTGTTAAATATGCTCTGCAATAAAATTCTTTTTCTGATGCTTACTTTAGCCAATATACACACAAACACACATATATCTAAAAGCTGGTTGGTCTTTAGTTCTTATATAGCTAAGTCCCTTTTTTGGTTGCAGATCCTTTTCCGGATGATATACTGCCAGATAAAGCAAGCCGTAAACATCGCAAAAAGGGGAAGCCGGTTGACTTTACTTACCATAAATGGGCTCATTTAGGTGTTCCGATGCTTATTTCTGCTGGTGATGATGCAAAGCTTTTTGCATATTCAATTCAGGAATTTACTAAGTTCTCCCCACATGATATATGTCCTGCGCCTCAGAGAGTACCCATGCAAATGGTACATAATTCGATGTTCAATAAGACTTCTCTTCTCCTGGTTCAGGGTATTAGTACTTTAGATATTCTTCGACTTAATATAAGCAGTGATTCTAGTGGACGTGCCTCAACAAAGTCATTGGTTCGTGTTAAAAGTAGAGATGCCCGAAAGATCATATGCAGTGCAATTTCTAACACCGGATCACTTTTTGCTTACTCTGACCAAATTGGCCCCAGTCTGTTTGAGTTGAAGAAAAATGAATTTACAAAGTGTCCATGGAGTGTTAGTAGAAGGCGACTTCCTGAACTTCCATTTGCACATTCCATGATTTTCAGTTCGGACTGCTCCCGCCTAATAATAGCAGGGCATGACAGAAGGATATATGTATGTGCTGGATTTTTGCTATTGATCTAATTCTCATGTTCAAATTATGTGTATTGTTTTGAAGTTACCCTTACTTTCTGTATCATATTTTCTTGGCAGACTATTGACATAAGTAGTTTGGAACTAGTATATGCATTTACACCATCTCGGGAGGAGCATGAAGGTGAAGCTCCACCTAAGGAGCCTCCAATAACAAAATTGTTTACTAGCTCAGATGGTCAGTGGCTAGCTGCTATCAATTGCTTTGGGGACATCTATGTATTCAACCTCGAAACACAAAGGTGGGAACTTTGTGAAGCTTTGCTTGTTTAATATTATTTATCATGCTCGAGAAGATTTTACTTTTGTATTGATGTATTAATTCTGGTGTTGGCTTTAATTCACAGGCAGCATTGGTTCATATCAAGACTCGATGGTGCATCTGTTGCGGCTGCTGGATTTCATCCCTGGAATAACAATGTACTTGTGATCTCAACCTCCTCGAACCAGGTCTTTGCTTTTGATGTAGAAGCTAGACAGTTAGGCAAGTGGTCGTTGCTACACACATATGTTCTGCCAAAGAGGTATCAAGAGTTTCCCGGGGAGGTCCTTGGACTCTCATTCTCCCCGTCACCAAATTCATCGTCTGTGATAGTTTACAGTTCCAGGTACTGATTGCACTATTTAGCCTAGTCAATCTGCATCTGCCTTTATATATAAAACCTTTTTAATTCATATCCTGTTTGCATAGCAGGGCGAAGTGTCTGATCGACTTTGGGAAGCCTGTGGAAGAAGATGAAGAGAATGATTTACCAAACGGCAATCTTTCTAAAACGCTAGAAGGTAAACTTGTCAACTTGGGCTTGAAAAAGGGAAAGGGTACAAACCGAAAACGTCGGTTAGAAGAGTATCAGTTGGAGGGTAAGAGTAATGAGAGAAAGAACTTTGAAATCTTACCTTCAAAGCATCCAGTTTTATTTGTGGGTCACCTTTCTAAAAACTCAATCCTGGTGATAGAGAAACCGTGGATGGATGTTGTCAAGAGTTTGGATACTCAACCAGTGGACAGACATATTTTTGGAACTTGAAGACAGTGGAGTTGTTTGTCTGAAGAACAGGACCAATGACCAATTTTTTGTTTGTCTGGTGATATGGTACACTAAGTAGAAAGGCTGATAGAGATGTTGAGAGTGAAGATGCAAACTATTTTAGTCTCTTTTTGTTTCTTTTGTCTACTCTTTTTAACTCTTTGATGAATCCATATGTTGTGTAATGTCGCCTAAGAAAATGAATTTTGTTTCAACTTAAAAGTTACTTGTTTTTTTGGAGACTCGTTAGTTCTGAAATTTTAGATTTTGTTAGATTAGATATATGAGAATCCAATATTTTTAACATATTAGCAAAACAATATAACTTTAACTAGATCATATAGCATTGTGCAATTGTGTTATACAAACAATTCAAACAAAAGGAAATTGTTTCAGAACTTGATTGTGACAAGAGAACATTCAAAATTGATAAAAGTTACTCTCGCAGCACATTCAAAATTGTTTTACACTATGGAGGGAGAGAAATGGACGGTGGTACGAGGGAACAACCAAATACAATGAATCAAATGGTGGGGTGGATAGACAAACAAGTACGCAATCTCGCATCGCAACCTCTTAGTGTTATATTAATCATTTCTCGAAATGAAAAAATTTCTATCAACCAAACGCTACACTGGTTGTAAAACCGTTTATTTTTCTTTTTGAAAATAAATTAACATTAAATTCAAAAAAAAAAAATTGTTTACACTATGGAAAAACATATTTTTATCTGTTTAAACTATAATGTCGGAGTTAGTATCCAAAAATCAGTTGCATATATAAGACATAGAGTGCTAATGTATTTGTACATTATTAGATTTAATCCGCGATATACTGCAAGATAATTTTTGTTTTATACAATCTTAATTATATCACTCTGATTCGATATGTCTGATATTGGTAGTGTTATAAAATAATAAAATGAGAGTTTAACATGTATAAAAATATCAGATTAATGGTATTTTTAATTTTTACTAATGAAATTCAACTATGTCATATAACCATGTCTCACAAGATAACCCGCCCATGTTATTTTAAATATTTTATATGTATAAACATTCATAATATTTCAAAAATTTTATTAAATTTAAATATATCATTCATAATATTTAAAACTTTTTAAAAGTTTAAAAATTTATTATATTCGGTCAAATTCAAAGTTTAACTAAAAAACGAATTAAACCGTATAGAAACTTTTAGATTTAGATGCTTGTTAAGTTAGTGTCATTCTCATTCGGATTTTTATTTATTTTGATTTTATTTATAATATGACTTTGAATATCATTGGCTAAACATTTTAGCCGATGTAGGACGTTAAACACACACTTTTGTTTTTTTATTAATTGAGTAATATATGTCCGTTTTTAAAATTTCGATTCACAATATGATGATATAAAAAATTAAAAAAATCAAACAAATATAATAGGAGAATCATAATTTTAAATCTTAACCAACTCTTCTAAATATTTATATTTTCAGTTGTGGAACATTGTATGGATATTTTTTTATTTTATAATTAGTGTTAAAAATCTTTTAATCGTGTGTGGTTATATGGATAGTAGAGAATTAATGGTAAAGTTATTTGGATACATAGATATAAGTAATGATTTAGCTGATTTTTTGTACAGAGCATAAGTTCGGCATACTTAAAGACTAATGTCCCTTAGTGCACAAGTACTCTCACGTTTCTGGGAGGTACTTGCTTGTATTTTTTTTTCCTCTCGGATCTTTTTTTAGAACGAATCAATTAGTATGACTTCATGCTTTGTGGGTTATAATTTTTACCGCGTCCGCGATAGTTTCGACAATCACGTCTCCGGATCCCTTTCATATGCTACGAAATTTTCTCACAAGCTTCCACGTCGTCAACAACCCTTCAAAGGAAAGACTATGTTTCCATCACTTTTAGACTCGTCTTTCACAACCTTGCATATAAATAACAAGATTGTCATCTTATTCCTATCTAAACAGCTCATACTCTTCATCTCATTCAGCTTCTCTTCCACGTTTTTAATTTTAATTCTCTCAGACCTTTCAAACATTCTTTTAACACACTTCACACTGCCCAAACTCTCATACTTTTTGGGTGTATTCATGGTAGTCTAACCCGGTCAACAACGTATGTTCTTTCAAACAATACCTTATAAGCACTCCATTCACCACAAACCACCACTCTCTCACAATCTCCGTGCTAGTGGTGCGAAGCAAAAGCATCCACATGCCTTGAATCATGTGATTTGGTTCCTTAGGCATGTGGAATATATGCTTAAACTGATCATGCTTACTAAACCAACTCAACTCTGAATCCAATTTCTCTATCATTGCCATAGTTTGGCCCACACTAACCTAGTTCCTACCTTACAAACTTTGATGTACTCAGACGGACCAAAGAACATCCTCTCTGACGGCAGTGGTTGGGAATCATCATCATCATCTGTATTCTGCATATTCAAACACATGCACGTATTTAGTTGTTCCAGTCATCCGGAATACTATTAATACCACATTATATTACCAAGTTGTACTAATTGTTTCTGAACCACCATTCCAAAATTTACTATCTATTTCTACAACAATTCAAAACTATACCTCATTATCAGCATCAACATCATTGATTCTCTCTTTTTCTTCATCATCATCATTTTATTTGTATCCTACATATTCAAACACTTAGATAAAATAAAGAAATTAGGGTAAATTAATTGGGATCTTCCTGGGTTTTGAGCCGGATTTTCATTTTTGTTGGACTTGGATCAAATACATAGGTTGGGGGTTCGTAATTTAATGCTATTGGTAAAAGTAATTAGTCATTTCCTCTGATTTTCTTTACAAGAAATTCAATAATAAAAAACATAACGAAGACATAAGTGATCATTTGTTTTTCGATTTGTGGCATAAGTGGCTCGTCCTCTAATCGATCACATGTCAAAAATTTACTGATTGGTTGAGTCCTATCAACCGGTTCTGAAATAAAACCCTCGAACCTTGGTTTGATTCGGTTCAGTTTTTAACCGACATGCTGCATTTATTTCTCCAAATCCCTTAAAAAATAGGATAATATGACTATAACCAAAAAAAATTTATAAATTAAGAAAGTAGCACTAGAAAAAAAAGAAGGTGATATTCTTTATAATCTATATATAATAGCAATCTAATAAATACCATTTGCACATCTGAACGGTTGCGTCTTTTAATCGCAACCTTTCGTTTAAATCGGTTATTTTTTTACGGTTATTTTGGTTGCGTCTTTTTATCGCAATTTTCGTTTTAATCGGTTATTTTTTAACGGTTATGTCGTTTCCAATAAATACCATTTATATATCTGAATGGTTGTGTCTTTTTATTGCAACCTTTCGTTTAAATATTTATGGTTGTTTTTCTTACAATTCTTTTTGTACGGTCATGTTATTTACATAATAGTTATTTTTGGTAGACAATTGCAAGCTTTGATTTATATATTTAATTTATTTCACGAACGATTGCAACCTTTGATTTATATATTTAGTTTATTTCACGAACAATTGCAACATTTGGTTTATTTTATAAATTGCTATAACATCTAATTATCTACCGTCGAGTCTATCGGTATAACTTTTCATAAATTAATATTTTTAATTACCAAAATTTATTTAAATGAGATTGTAATCGTTTAATTGAACCGTTGAAACATTTGGTTTATCTGACAAATCATTGCAACTTTTGGTTTTATTTTACGAACCGTTGTAATCTTTAGTTTATTTGACAAACTTGACGAACCGTTGCAACTTTTGATATATCGCAACATTTCATTTATTTTTTTTAAAACTAAAAAAATTATTTTACGTTATGTATTTTAAGAAAGTTGCAATTCGAGTAAATAATTTTTACGGTTGCATCTTTTTATCGTCACTTTTCATAAAATGGTTGCAACCGTTTAGTTGAACCATTGCAACATTTAGTTTATTTCACAAAAAATTGAAACTTTAAGTTTATTTTATAAATCGTTATAACATTTAATCATCTACCATCGTTATTATTAATTTTTGTTTGATATTTTTTTAAACGATTTTTGAAATATTTTCCCCCGCGATGTAACATTTGATTTATATATATTTTTTTTGTATTTCACGAAAAATTGCAACCTTTGGTTTATTTTACAAATTGCTATAACATCTAATTATCTACCGTCGCGTCTCTCGGTATAATTTTCATAAACTAATATTTTTAATTTTTAATTACCAAAATGCATTTAAATGAGATTGTAATCGTTTAATTGAACCGTTGAAATATTTGGTTTATTTGACCAATCATTGCAATTTTTGGTTTTGTTTTACAAACCATTGTAATCTTTAGTTTATTTGACGAACTTGACGAACCGCTACAACTTTTGATATATCGCAACATTTCATTTACTTCTTTTTAAATTAAAAAAATTATTTTACGTTATGTTTTTTGAGAAAGTTGCAATCCGAGTAAATATTTTTTACGGTTGCATCTTTTTATCGTAATTTTTCATAAAATGATTGCAGCCGTTTAGTTGAACCATTGCAACATTTAGTTTATTTCACGAAAAATTGCAACTTTAAGTTTATTTTATAAATCGTTATAACATTTAATCATCTACCATCGTTATTATTAATTTTCGTTTGATATTTTTTTTTAACGATTTTTGAAATATTTTCCCCCGCGACATCGCGGGGGTCCGGAGTCCTAGTTTATGTAATAAAGACAGGTTTAGTCCCTCTCTCAATCTCTCTCCCTCTGTTCTTCTCTCCTTCCCTCTCTCTCCACGTCCCTCTCTTCTCTCTCTCTCCCCCCTCTCACCTTCCCTCTCTCTCTCTCTTGAGTCTTGACGCCCCTCTTTTCTCTCTCTCTTCATGCACCCTTTCATTTTCTTCGTGAGAATGGAAGGATTTTATTGTCTTTTCATACACCACATGTGCTACTCACTTAATTTCCAAGATTATGGTGCTATAAATTTAATAACTTTTTCAAAATTGGTTACTTTTGCAAATCATCCTAAAAAATATTGAAGCTTGTGAAAAAATAAAAAAGTTGTTGGCAACAATTATCCAAAACCGGAGGGAGTAGGCGGGAACACTGTGAACCGCATCGCCGTCGAATGGGCCAATCCACTTCCACATTCCGGCGATATAAAGCTAGCTTCACTTCTCCGGTACTACCTAATGAAGGCGAACAAAACTCCGGTGCCGATGAGCCGTACGATTGTACTTCTAACTTACCAGACGAATGTTTATCGTTGATTTTCCAATCGCTAACTTGCGCCGACCGGAAACGTTGCTCACTTGTGTGTCGTCGGTGGTTAACGATTGAAGGACAGTGTCGTCATCGTCTTTCTCTCAAAGCTCAATCTGATCTTATCTCAGTGATACCTTCTCTCTTTTCTCGGTTTGATTCTGTTACTAAGCTTGTTCTTAGAAGTGACCGTAGATCTCTTGGTATTTGTGATAATGCATTCGTTATGATTTCGGCTAGATGTCGGAATCTGACGCGGTTGAAGCTGCGCGGTTGCCGCGAGATCTCGGATTTAGGGATGGTTGCTTTCTCTGGGAATTGTAGGAGTTTGAAGAAAGTATCATTTGGATCTTGTGGGTTTGGGGTTAAAGGAATGAATGCTATGTTGAATAATTGTTTAGGTCTAGAGGAATTGTCGGTGAAGCGGTTGCGTGGAATTAATAATGTAGCTGGTGCTGGTGTTGAGCTTATAGGCCCGGGAGCAGCTGCGGGTTCGTTGAAGATGATTTGCTTAAAGGAGCTGCATAATGGTCAGTGTTTTGCTCCGTTGTTAAGCGGAGCTAAAGGTCTTAGGACTTTGAAGATTTTCAGATGTTCAGGGGATTGGGATCGGGTTTTTCAGGAGGTAGGTAATCAGGTTAATGCTATTGTTGAGATACATTTAGAGAGGATTCAGATAAGTGATTTGGGTCTAACTGCGTTATCGAAATGTTCGGGTGTTGAGGTTCTGCACCTTGTGAAAACTCCTGACTGCACGAATGTTGGTCTGGCTTTGGTGGCTGAACGTTGTAAACTTCTAAGAAAGCTTCACATTGATGGATGGAAGACAAATCGAATTGGCGATGAAGGGCTTATAGTAGTTGCTAAATCCTGCTGGAATTTGCAGGAGTTGGTTTTGATTGGTGTTAACCCTACAAAGTTAAGTTTGGAAGCAATTGTCTCGAATTGTCTTAACTTGGAGCGATTGGCATTGTGTGGAAGTGATACTGTAGGTGACACCGAGCTATGTTGTATTGCTGAAAAATGTTTGGCATTGAGGAAGCTTTGCATAAAGAATTGCCCCATTACTGATGATGGAATCAAAGCTCTTGGGACCGGATGCCCGAATCTGCTAAAAGTGAAGGTTAAGAAGTGTAGAGGAGTAACCACTGAAGGAGCTGATCTGTTAAGGACAAGAAGGGCGTTGCTTGTTGTCAATTTAGATACTCCCGAGACACCAATTGCCGAGGCTAGTGTCAGTGAAGGTGGAGCACAAGCAGATGCAGTTGAGTTCCCTCCATCCAGACTCCAAATACCAACACTAGGCATTGCATCTGGTAGCACCAGCCGGTCAACCTCGTTTAAGTCACGATTGGGTTTTATGAGTCGGGGAAACTTAGTTGCTTGTGCACTGAGAAGGTTGGGAAGTCGTAGCAGGTCCCGGAATGATTAGACACTATGCAAGGATGTAGAAACCAGTCAATTCCTACACATTCGAGAGTATGAAATCTGAGTTTGACGCTTTTTTAAGTTTATTTTAAAAGGTGTGCTTCGTATTGTGTAGCAGTTTGTTGTTGTTATATTGATTGATTCAGAAATTGTTTAGAATGCTTTAGTTCTTTGTCAATGAAAGTGTCTTCACATCATATCGTCAGAGTTAATCTGATGCATATCTAAATGAAACATAAACATACATTAGACAAAACCCAAAGGTCGATCGGACTTGGATCTTGGTCACCAGATCAACGACATCAATGCAACTTTGTAGTTTCAGATTTTAGCTATTATCACAAAACAAGAAAGAATCGATCAGACCTAAAACAGCCACTTCACTATCAGATTAAAGTCCAACCCATAACATCATGTAGTAGCTGGGTAAAGTCTGAACATCCTTGCAGTGATATTAAAAGAAGGAAAAGACCGTAATTGCAACATTGACTAATCTCTTTTTGGAGCCTACAACACCAGTATTTGATTTAGGACATCTTTCTAATCAATTAGCTTTCTTCTCCTTTGCTGCAGCAGACTTCGAATACAAGAGAATCTGCGTCAGGATGCTTCCGTTGGTGACGACTCCAAGAGCAAAACCAGTAAGAACTATGGAAAGGTTGAGGAAAAGGAAAGCTTTCAATAGACTAAATAATACCATATATGACAAAATTGTGTTTGTGTGATGATTTCAGCATGCATAATAATAAGAAGTAAATATTATCTGAGAAGGATACTGCTTAGTGGAGCCTTTTCCTGGAGGCTGGTGAAAACTCTCACTGCGAGCCAAACAAACAAGTATTACGAGACAAGAAAATATCACACATCCAATGGAATATAGAAGAGTCATCCAACAAGGGAGCCCTCTTACCTATGGATCCGGCGAAGTTCATGAAGAAAGTTAAGAAACTAAGTTCTCCGGTGCTTTTGTTCTGTAGATAGAGAGGGAAATGTGAACCATAAGCATATATAGTTCTGTAAGTATACTTCTGCAGAATCTATAGAAATCTTTGTATGGTTCAAACTAGCATATATGCATCATAAAGCTTGAACCAAAATGTGTATATGCATCTACTAATCATTTTTTGTCCTCCAGCAATATTGCAAGGTAAACTATACTATGACAGTTACTCATAAATCGATCAATGGAACATAAAGCCGTGAAATGAAAGATTGCTGCAACCATTGGAAACGTGACTCTAGTTCAAAACACCATTCAAACTTAGTCGAACAAGAAGATTCATCAACGAAAAAAAAGAAGGAAAATGAGTATTCTAGTATAGACTCACTTTGAAGTTCTTCCATATCTGAGGGAGTCTTGCAAAGAGAAATATCGCATGCTGTGAAGCCTACAACAAATATACACTATCAAAATGTACCCACACACACACAGATCCTAAAGTGAATAAAACAATAACTTTGTCCTCACATAAAGAGCTTCGAAAAGCGTAGGATTTATCTGTCCAGCAAGCACAGTTGGCGCCACAGCACAATATCTATATCGGCGTAACATTAAGAAAAAACTAAACCAGAAATTCTAAAGTCAAAAGGTAAGAAATTCCTAAACCGAAAGGATACAGAAGTGGTCTGATCCAAGTTGTTACAGGTACTGGTTGAGAATAATAATAGATACAAGCAACCAAGATTAAAGCTGCAAAGATAATAAGAGACAATGATATCAGAAATCATAACTATAAACATACATATATCATAAAGTTTTACCACTAACAAATCATATTAGTGTCAATTGTTGTATATTAATGATAAACACAACTGTTAAATGGTATAATCAAGATTCAAGACTAGGGTTCTTGATTGTAATTCTTATACCTTGGATCAAAAGAAAAGCCATTTCGCCGAAAGCCGAAAAGGGAAGACCTTTATGCAAACAATAAGCAAGTGAAATTGTGTAACCAACCACTTCAAGCTCAAATGCCATAACACTTAAGCCTCGTACACTCTTATGTTGCACGATTTTCATTATCTACAATAAAACCAATAAGGCAAAAACGAATACAAGTCACAATTTTGAGATTAGGGTAAGATTTTATATACGAAGTTGATTTTGATTATATACCTGAGGAAGCTTGACGGTGATTGAAGCAGCGACAAGGCAATAACCGAGAAGCTTTGAAATTAGAGGAAGAAGACAATCTTTCTCCGGGAACTCACCATTCCGGAGAGATCCGATCGCGCAGCTCATGTCGATTCCGAGATAATCCATAGATTTTGAGTTGATCTTGCGCTTGGATCTTTGGTCGGAAAAGCTGAGCAGAGACCAGAGAGGTTGGTTCGTTGGTTTGGTTAAGTCACGTGAAGTTGCCTCTATCTTAACATTCCGAGCAGAACTGTTTGGGCTTACAACGTCGCCTTTTTCATATCGGCCTCTTTCTTAGCCCAATTACGTCGTTCCCGATTTTTTTTTCTTCTTTTTTCTTTTTGTCTTCAATAGACTCAACATTTTTTTTTTTTCTAAACGTCTCAATTTATTACTACTCCCTCCGTATTTTAATAATTGTCGTTTTACGATTTTCTTTTTTTAAAAATTAGATGTCGTTTTCAAATTTCTATGCAAAATTTCTTACTTTTTAATGTTTTATAATGTCATAAAACATTAAAAAGTAAGAAATTTTGCATAGAAATTTGAAAACGACATCCAATTCAAAAAATTAAAAATTCTAAAACGACACTTATTAAAATACGGAGGGAGTATAACTTATGAAAACTTTTATATAGATAATTCTATCATGGATAATTCTTTCGAATCCTATTAGATGCATGATATACGACATTTGTTTTCATGATTATGAATTTATGATGAACACTTTGAATGATCTACGACCGACAACATTTCATACTCCATGCTTATCATTATGATGAACAACTTTAATGCATAAAATCATAGAGAACGATTCTAATTGCACAACACTGGAGATCTCATGTAAACTTGTCTCTATTAATCTGCATATTTGTTAGTTAATTGTACTATCTGGAACCTCTTGATATAGAAGCATTAATTAACTTTTGATCAACCATTGAACCAAAAACTTTTACCGACTCAATAGTCAATACAATAAACAAATTAATAAAATATTATGTATAATAAATTTCTTTTAATTTTAAATCGTAATATATATAAACAAATCTTTCTCAAAGATTCAGCTACCAATTAGAAACAAAATTTTCAATTTCAAAACTTTTCCATGAACCTCTTTGTTTCATTCTTGAAATATTTATGTGTTACTTTAAAATCTGCATTCTTTTTATGAAGAGAGATTTCACGATATCGTACACTATATAACTATGAAAATATTATTGTACTTTTTATTTGTATATTTACCACATCATCATTTTAACATTCAACAACCATTAATGTTATATTTAGAAAATTTGTTAGCTTTTAATTTTAGTTAAGTCAGATATATAAACATAAATTAGTATATGTTAAAATAAAATTTAAATACTCACGTAAATTAGCTTTTATAAATATTTTTTCTATTATTTTTCTTTTATACTTATATAAAAAAAAAGTTAAAACAATTTAACATATGACACAATTTAATCAATTTATTTAAAATGTTCGCGATTATGTTAGTGACTAATTTCAAGAAACCAAACTTTACTTAACAAAATAATATATACATATATATTTTCTATTTTACGCTAAACTTTTTGTTGACACCGTATTTTTCACTGAACTAATCCGAGGAGAAAATAATTAAAAAAGAAAAAATATAGTTAAGAATTAAATATTTTGATAAGGAAAAAAAAAAATATATATATATATATATATATACTTTGATAAGAAAACAGAAGTTAAGACCAAAGTGATAGAAGGAGAATCCTGCTTCAGGTCACGACCTTCTTCTCTTTCGTCAAAATCGCAGCCGTCGAGGGTCACAAAAAATCGATTCTTAGATCCGCCTCTCCGGTGGTCGGTGCTTCTCACCGGCACCGCGAGAGGGCTCTTGTTGTTGTTCCTTTGCTTTGTTCTTAGTCTTGTTGGTGTTTCCTTTGGTGAAACCTTGGCGATTGGAGTGGCGGTTTGGTTGCGGCGTGGGTCTTTGGTGATTGCAACGGTGGATTTTGCAAGGATTGGCGGGTTCTCTATGCTTTAAAGGTGTTGGCTCTGGTTAGTGTTGTCGGGTGATGGTGGATCTGGTAAGTGACGAGAGCTTGTGGTTGTTGGAAGTTTCTGTCCCCTTGGTTCTTTTGGGGCTGTGGTGGTGTTGGCCTTTGTCGGGTGGGCTGCTCCTCTCGTTGGTTTCTCCCATGGTTGCGCTTGGTGTAGTCTTTGTAGTTTGTGTTGATGGCTTAATCGTTGCCTCTGGTCTCTTGCTTGTGGCTTTAAGGTTGTATAATCGTTAGTTTAGGTAGCTTAAGGGGTTGTGTAGGTTAGTTTAGGCTCTGATTCTACGGATAATCCGGGATTTTGGTATGGCTACCTCGTTCTCCTTCCTCTCTTGCTGCCCGAAGCTTTGGTCTGAGCTTGCTAGAGCTCTCTTGTTTTCGTGTCTTGCTGAGCTTGCTTTTGTCCTTTGATGAGCTTTATTGTGATCTCTCCGGTTCGATCGTATGCTTTTCTCCTTTTGAGTTTAGTGTTTGCCGGTTAGAGGTTTGTTTCGCTCCTTGTCTCTACACTCAAGACCTGATCGAGGTCTGGTCAGTTCATGTCTTCTAACGAGGCGATTAAAGGTCGTGGTTTGCGACAAACGCCGCTTCCGAAAGATTTGTGGGATTTGGTCTCTTTGTCTCGCGTCTTTCTTGTCGGAATAGAAGTCTAGGTTCAATCGATTTGAGAGGTACCTTGGCTACGCAATAGGAGGTTTTGTTAACTGCAAGATGGACGCGTGTTGTCCTTTGTGGCTGGCTTTGTTCACATTGGTGTGGGAGTAAGATTGGCAAGTTCGTTTTCTTTCGAGCTTTTGTTTATGTTTTTGACTTTTGTTTCGTTTTTGTAGATTGTATTCTCCACGTGTTCAACTGGTTCCCTCTTTTGGGCTTTCGCTTCCCTCTTTTGGGTTTTAAGTTTCCGGGGATTTCTAGTGTTTCCGCCGGCTTATGTATTTCAACAATGTATCCTTTTTTGTGATATTAATAAAACAGACGACAAAAAAAAAAAAAAAGTGATAGAAGGAGAATGTGTTGCATTTTGCATAGTGGTAGCCGGAAGAATTGGCTGCCACGTCGGGTGTCCAAATGTTGACAAGCCGTCACACAGCCGTTGTCAGCCGCTTATTAAACCGCAATGCCAACAGTCAATGTCTTCCACACTAAAAAAAAGTCAACAAGAGTTTTAGGTTAAATAGTAAAATTGGAAAGAGAGAGGGCTCTTGAGTACAGTATGTCGGCTATGTTTTGAGTTTAATTAATATAAAAAAAATTGGGAAAGAAAAAAAGTGACGGCGCAGCCACATAACGCATATCTTTAGCCGCCTAACATGACACATCTTCTCTCTCTTTATATATAACACACGTAGACATGTCACGTTTGGTTAAATTTAGGGTTTGATGGTGATTGAATACAAACGAAAACAAGACTTTCCTATGGTGAAAGAAGCAATGGTCATGAACGAGAAGCCAAAGAGGAATCTCATGAGCCCCAACGAGAAGCGATACAAAGGGATAAGGATGAGGAAGTGGGGGAAGTGGGTGGCTGAGATAAGAGAGCCTAACAAACGATCACGGATCTGGCTTGGTTCTTACAAAACCGCGGTTGCAGCGGCACGTGCCTATGACACCGCTGTGTTTTACTTACGAGGTCCATCGGCGAGACTCAATTTCCCTGAAGAGGTCTTACAAGATGGAAACGGCGGTGAAGGTGTAGGAGGAGACATGTCTGCGACGTTGATACGGCAGAAGGCGGCGGAGGTGGGAGCTAGAGTCGACGCGGAGTTGCGGTTAGAGAATAAGATGGTTGAGAAATTAGACATGAATAAGTTGCCGGAGGCATATGGATTGTAATTTTTATAGTTTGGTAGTTTATAGGTTGGAGATTGCCCGGAGACAGAGTTAAACAGAGGTTCTCTGACTCATATGAGGCTTAATATAGTTGAAATTTGCTTTATCTTTTTTTTTTCTTTTTGGGAAAATTGAATTAATTAGATGATCATAGTAAATTTTTCATAACATGGATCCTAAGAAACAAACAAATAACGAAACAAATGCTAATAACGGATGATTATAACGGATGATCAATGTCCAAGTAAGGTGGAAACCATTGTTGGTGTCTTTTTGGCGATATAGGTTTGTTGTAAAACCATAATTTGTAACAGTTTGTGCAACTGCTATGTCTTCCCAACTTTCATTGATTTCTTTTCATGACCTTAAAGTCTTGTCTTCTAATGGAACAGTAAAGGCAGCTCCACATACTGAGTGGCGTTTCATCCATGAGAAAACCGAATGTGTATTTTGTATGGGCCAGAAACCTGCGGGCCTAAACGTTTAATTATGTGATCTGTTTTATCTACAACGTTTGTAAAATAAACGACTCAAAAATGTTTTTGGATGTCTCCGAGGACCTTAACGCTTCTTTCTTGGCAAAGTTTAATGATCTAATCTACTCCCCCACAATGGATTATTGTTGATTTTGTCACTCAAATATTTCAGATTTGTCATTTTTGGTCATTTTAAAAACTATACATTTGTGAAATATTTTTGTATATAAATACATACTTAATTAATGCTAAATAATTATTTTTCAGAATTCTCTTTCTTCTCTCTCAAATAACTCTTCATCAGTTAAATGTATTATGTCGTCTGGTTAAATATGGCAAAGCTGTCCAGTGTGGTATCCGGCTTTTATCCAACATATATTAGTTTTCATAGCAGTGCATGGTCGGCTTTTCGTCTAGTATCGTCGGCGCTTCCAGTGGAGATGGCTACCTTACGGTTTCTATCCGGTGTAGTCCAGTTTCCTTTTTTTTTCTTTCACCTTTTTCTCTTTTCCAGTATATCCGGTTTTATTTTCTTTTGGTTTATATCACGGTTATGTTAGAGCGTCGATTATATCTATACTAGTATTTTTGAAGTACATTTTTAGCGAATGTGTTAAATTATTTTCGGACATAAAAGGTACCGACCCGATAAGAAATTTAATTCACAAGAATTTGGTTGGATCGGGTTATATTTAACCCAACTCTTACACCGGTATTTGCCTAAAATTCGGATACAAATATTACCAAAATTGGATAGTGTCCACTAATTACGTTTCTATATTTAAAAATAAAGGTATTTAGAAGATTTGGTTATGATTTAAATTTATGATTCTCTTTTCATCTTTGTTTGATTATTTTTTAACTATTTTGAATTATCATATAATACATCAAATTAAAAAAAATCTCAATTTTTTTCTACATATATTGTGATTCGAAATTTTTAAAACGGACATATATTATCCAATTAATGAAAAATGTGTGTTCAACGTCCCACATCGGCTAAAATTTTTAAACAATGATTCAGAGTCATATTATAAATAAGATCATTATGAATCCAAATCCGAATGAGCAAAAACCTTAACTTAACAAGCATCCAAATTTAAAAGTTTGTATACGGGTTAATTCGGTTTTTAGTTAAACTGTTTCATTAACTGGAAATATTATAATAGATATATTTGAAAACAATAGAAAATTGATAATATTATGAATATTTTAACATAAAAAAACAAAGTAACACGGGATGGATTATACTGCGGGATGGCGGGACGGGTTTTGAATAAACAAACAAAAATTTAAAATATCATTAAATTGCCCCTTCAATACGGACGGATTAAAATTAAAAAAAAAGTCTAGAATATTATGAACATTTGAACATATTAAAAAAATAGCAACAGGCGGATTATATTGCGTCTGGTTATATGGCAGGACGAGTTTGAATTAACATTAATAAAAAATTCAAATATCATTAACTCGCCGCTTCAATATGGGTTAAACCCAAAAAAATTTTATTTTTTAACACCACGATTATTAAACATATCGAATTAGCCTACTTGCAAATTTTTATATTTAAATTTTAAAAATCACTATTTTTAGTAAATAAATCGTCATGCGGTATACCGTATACCGCGGGTTAAAATCTAGTTTTAGGTAAAAACTCATTGAATTTGTAGATTAGTAGTGGAGGTTGTGGAGATTCTCCACTCAAAAGGGTCTCTACCTATCTTTTGGGTTTGTGGTTTACAGAAAATGATTAGGCGATGTACGTGATAACATGGAATTTCACCCATATTTGTTATTGTTTTTTCATGTTTTAGGAAGTGTTTGGTGTGATTTCAAGGCCAAAGAGGAGATATTCAAGTATTTGTGGAGTCAAGAAGGTTTGGGATTTTAAAGCAAAATGAACCAAAAGACGAGCAAACCCCGTTTTAGGACAGATTCGAAGCTCCAGAAGTTAGGCATCCGTTGGAGGCCTTCCTCTGAAGAAACTTTGGAGATCTTGGACTCTATGGAAAGCTAGAAGAGTCAAGATTACTATGGAGGAAGAATCAACTCAATTCTAGCTGCCAAACAGAAGTTAAAGCCGGTTGAAGGAACCCTGTTCGAGATCGGTCGCAAGGCATGCGACCGGTGGTGAAGCTACCTTTGAGACCGGTCACAGTCCACTTGACCAGTCTGGAGCCTCTTGGTGAGCACGGTCATGGACCACCGTGACCGGGCTGAGCCCACTCGTCTAGCACTTAAACCTAATCAACATGAAATGACGTTTTTGCCCTTTAACCTAGTTGAAGCCTATAAATACCTATCCTAAACCCTAGAGAGGGTGCGTCTTCGACAATATCACTAGAAGCCTCACAAAGAGAAGCCCTGCAGCCTCCTTCACTGCCTCTTGGTCGTCAAGGTTTTGTCTCGCCGCCGATCTCCTCCGAAGCCACCATCGTCGGTCACCAACCTTTCTCTTCATCTCTTATCTCTAGTCTCTACTTGTTTAAGGAAGAAGAATCACCATCTCTGTATTTACAGAGAAGATTTCTAAACCCTTTTCTATACTCATACTCTTTTATGCAATCTCTTATTCATATGATGTTGTGTTCTTTGAGTATGTGTGAGTAGTTTATTCGTTGGGTATAAGGGTTTCAGAGGGGATTCATGGATCTGTTTTCTAGGGTTTCTTAGATCTATATTTAGGTCATCTTTGTTCTTCGTTCTAGGTTTGTTCTTAATGCATATTGCTTGAATAGCTAACTTGCAATTGATCTTAGGTGGTTTTATGCATCAATTGTGTATAAACCCGCGTTCACTAGCCAAGATGTGAGTATCGTGTTATAACAAACACACACCACTTAGTTATAGGGCTTTACAAACTATAATCGAACTCGTTATTCATGCTGGTTTAATCTCCTCGTTGCATGCTTTAGTTTAGTAACATAGTTCTTAGACTTAGATAGTCGTTTAGTCATAAGCTAAACGGTTTTACATAAGTGTTTCGTAGTTCATGAACTCTTTAAAAAGCATAGGTATTCCTTTGTTTAAAATCCTAGAATAACCCGATTCATGATACCCTGAGAAATTCCTGAAGCCCAACTTCTCGTTTATTTATAACCCTAATCGTTTGCTTTGCTTTAATTCTCTTATTTTGTTAGTTACAACCCAAAACCAAACCCCTCTTTTTATTTGTTTTAGACATATTCCTTTCCATTGAATTCGTACCGTACTTATAAGTCTCTGTGGGATCGATCCTTAAATACTACATCCGATTAACTGTGCACTTGCAGTATTCCGTGTAGTCTCTAAGGAAAAACTTTGAGGCGAAATAAATCACGCATCAATACGATTTTAGTTGAAGATTCAAAGCACGTTCCTCAGCTTATTACTATTGCATGCCTTTAGCTGTATCTTTTATGTTAAAGCTTCGATTGGTGTTTATTCAACAGAAGAGTTGTCTGAGAAATACAAAAAATCTATCTTTGATCTTCACTCGGTCCTAGTTTCCATCAGAAGGATGATGATGGAAAAAATTTCTCCTCATGTTACACGCGCCTTTGATGTTAACATGTGTCTTGGGATTTTTCTAATTTGATCCAATCTTCTCTTCTAAGTGACGCAATGTTAGGCTAGTTGGACTTTTTTGTAGTCTTTGTAAACTATTTTATGATGTTGGGCTTTTTCTTTGTCGATGTATGTTATATTTCTATCAATACAGTCTTTGTTTGAGAAAAAAATACATAATTACAAACACTAAACCCTAATTTATGGAACAAAAAAAAACTCAAACATAGTGTGTAAAATTGTGTTTTTAGATATAAAAAAATGGCAAATATAAAATATTTAAGATAAATTGGCAAAAACCACAAATGTATAACCAAAAACAAAAAATAACTGGCATAAAGTTAAACAATATATATATATATATTCAAAAATATAGTATTCTTAAAACCATTTAATAGAAATTTACATATTTTGATATTAAAAAAAATCAAAAAGAAATGTGAATCTATACTAGTATTTTTGCAACACTTTGGTGACGGGTGGGTAAAAATACTTCTGGGTTAATCGGATATCCGACCCGTTTTTTAAATTCTTTCACAAAAACATTTGTTGGCTCGGGTTATATTTAACCCAACTCATACACCGGATATTTCATATTTAATAATTTAGATATTTATAAGATTTGATTAAGATTTAGAATTATGATTCTCCTATCATCTTTGTTTGATTTGTTTTTAACTGTTTTGAATCATCATATAATACATAAAGTAAAAAAAAAAATCAATTTTTTTTCTGCATATACTGTGATTCGAAATTTTAAAAACGGACATATATTATCCAATTGACGAAAATGTGTGTTCAACGTTCTACATCGATTAAAATATTTAGACAATGATTCAGAATCATATCATAAATAAGATCAACATTAATAAAATAAATGAGTTTTTTGGCCGGACGGGTTTGGTGGGACGGGTTTTTGAATCAACAATAATAAAAAGATTAAAATATCATTAATCCGCCGGTTCAATACGGATTAAATCCTTATTTTTTTAATACCACCAATATTAGACATATTAAATCAGTCTCATTTAGAAAAGATTGAATAAAACCAAAAATTGTCCCGTGGTATAATGTTACTTAAT